TCGCTCTCAGTACGCGAGCTGTTAGAGACAACCATGGGAACAATAGAATTACCTAGATCCTCAGGACTATGGTTAACATTCGAGCCTGATCTAGGAGGGGTGCTACTGTCGCTAGTGCTCGACCCCTTACTACTGCTACTACTACTCGACATTATATTATAATCAAACAAGCAACTTAAAGGCTCGAACTCTTACCTTTTTTGATGATCGCTCACCAACCGACTATCCCCGAACTCGAGCTCGATTTACTGAGAGATGAGAGTGAAAAGTGAAAAATGGGGGGTGAAAGTTAAGGTATTTATAGGGGACTGTGGAATACCAACGGTCATGCAATCTCAACCCTTGGATCAAGACACGTGGCAGGCATCTAAGATCATGCTCTGACATTACACGTGCGGGCCATCTAAGGTCGTTCTCTAACATCCCATCAAACGCTCGACACTTGGAAAGACACCTGGACATTTATGCCTCTACATCTTCTCTCGTAGATCAAGCTTGGAGGAAAATCTATGACCTCGATGCACGGGGGCCTGTGATCACCCCAGAACCTACCAATCCCGAACTTAACCACAAAGCCCGAACTTACCCTCATCCACATCCAACAATATGAGGTCAGGTCTCTAAGGTCGGGGTTATGTGTCGTCATGTCAGGTCTTTTTGACGACCTATGGGAACACAAATCCTATATGATGTGCACAATTCTTGCAACACCCGATCTCGAACTCAAAAGCCTAATCCCGACCTCCCTCAATTATCCAAAAATTAAGGTCGGGCTCTAAGGTTTAGGTCGAGGCTTATGAGGTCGAGCCATACGTAAAGATAACGATTATAATGTCCTTATCTAGCAATTTTTACATGTTTTAGTCCTCCCATGACTCAATCATTCATCCTTGTCCAAATATTAAACATATTATAATCTAAATCAAACTTTTAAAGATAATTGTAATATAACTCAATCACTGTACAAGATAAGGATTATAAGTGGTTGAATTCTTTTACAACTCAACCACCAACATCTATAAATAGTGGACCAATGTTCATTATTGAGGTACATTTTTACAATACAATTTTAGTACACACTTTCATATAAATTCCCTGTTTGACTTAAGCATCGGAGGGGCAACAAACACACACCTCGTTTCCTTTGTTTCAGGTATTGGAAGGCCCTGTTCGTACTCGTTCTCGACCCTCAATCTCGAAAAATCAACAGGTACAATTTTTTGGCATCATCATTGGCGCCGTCTGTGGGAAGCACTACCAAAAGGCATGACTAATACACGTCTAAAACCTCCTCCAACAAGCTCATCGGTTCAAATTTGACTCCCCACTTAGAATCCTCTAATTTCTCGAATGTTGATGAACTGAAATCAATCAAGGCACATTCTTTCGTGGTTGGAATCTTCCTCTATGGTGACGGGTAAACTTCTCTTGAAATTCCTGGCCCTCATCTCCTCCTTCTTTTCTCAAATTCCTCTCCAATTAATCAACGAATGAAGAACAGCTTCCTTTTTATCCTATTATTAAGATTGGAAACAGTTTGTGCTGGGTGATTCCAATTTGAATCGAAGAACTATTAATGGATTGCTCTGAGTACGATATGAGAGGACTGCCCCCGTTCTTTATTCAAAATCTCATTTAAAGCTCAAACGGAAAATTCTCTAGGCATTAATCTGGGCTTTTTCCTATATCTCAACTTGACTCTACCTCAAGCCCAAGAGCAAAAGGAATCCAACTCCAAGAAGCTCCAGTTTCAAGCATACAGATTTTTACTCAATGAGGGACGATGCCCGAAATTCAAACTGGGGTGCATATGATGTTTATGGGCTTCCATCTTCAAGAAGGCCAACTCCATGACCTTCAAATTTTGAGGAGGAAACTGGAGATGATGCAAATAAGACAAGATTTTACCATGGAAATACACAGTATCCAACTTCAAACCCAGGTATGTTTTCGTCTAACAGAGGTATTCACCTTTTTCTATTGTGAATTTATATTCTCCAAGCAATTCAACTATGATCTACGGATATGTCACCATGCTAGCCTTTTCATTTTCTTAACATGTTCATCTTTTGATAGCATGCCCATTTATGTAGAAGAGAATATAATGTAGTTTTATCTGGTCCATGGGAATGCACACACTTAATTATAGAGATAAAAAAAAATGGAGCTTACCTTCAAATAAAATTCTTTCAATTCCTCCCTTGCCTGTTGACAATAATTAATACAAAGAAAAATATCAATCTCTAAAATTCACGTGGAAAGCTTCGCTGGGACATCAATCCAGGACACTTGAAGAATTTTAGTGAGTTTTAGAGCACATAAAGACCTTAGCTCCAAGAATAAATCATCATTATGAAAAATGATTACTTTGCAATTCTAAGCTAATGAATGCACCTGGGCAATTGGTTTGTGATGTAAAATGAACTTTTGTGCTTTTGATGATTTTATTGATTTACATATAAATAAACAAAGGCTAAGCATCAAAATATTATGAAATCACTATTTGCCTATATCTTCTATTCTGCTACTAATGTGGAGCAGCCGTCATGATTAATTAAAATAGTAGCTCATGTGCACATGCCAGAAAAATATTATGGTTCTTTAAAGACATCAGACAACATACATTATGTGATCTATGTTTTAATATTTGAAAAAAAACATATATTTTGGTGTCATCGATGCTCATACTTATGCTATGATTATTTGGTTATGAATTGCAATAACTTTTGGTTCACACACAATAATTGCTCGACGGGACGCCCAAACCAACGTTGGTAAAATTGAAGAGTAGATGGGCTCATAAGTCCTCATACCTTGGGGCTAGCTCATGATTTTGTCATCTTAGAGGGCGAGCCTCAGCTCGTGTTTTCCTTATTATCAAAGGCGAGCCTCAGCTCGTGGTTTTCTTATTATCGAAGGCGAGCCTTAGCTCGTGTCTTTCTCATTGAAGTCACGCCCTAGATCATGGATTTTTTATCTTATACTTTGTCGTAATGACGTACTCCGCGCATGCAGCGAATTCTTATGCTTTGGGCGTAATGACGTGCTCCGCGCATGTAGCCAACGCTTATTCTTTGGCGTAATGACATATTACGCGCTCCGCGCATGCAGCTGACTCTTATAGTTTAGCGTAATGACATATTACGAGCTCCGCGCATGCAGCCAGCTCTTATACTTTGGCATAATGACATGCTCCGCGCATGCAGCCAACTCTTATACTTTGGCATAATGACGTGCTATAGGCAATCAACTAATAACTTCGGCGTAAGGTCGTACTCCGCGCATGCATCCAATACTTTAAAGTTAACATAAAGTCTTGCCCCGCACAAGCACCTAAAGCCTTGTCCCAAACAAGCACATAAAGCATTGTCCCGCACAAGCACCTCTAGTCTTGCCTTAAGCAAGCACCTCCAGCCTTGGCTTGTGCAAGCACTTCTAGCCTTGTCCCACGCAAGCACCCTTGCAAATACTTCATACATTCAAGCCTCATTAAGTAAAAGGACCGACCTCATAACCCCGAAGACTATGAAACCTTTCAAAAATCGTTTACAAAGCTCGAGGTCGAATTCTTTCCTCTCAAAATTTTTTACAAGCTCCAAGTTGAGCTCATTTATGCCAAAATCTTTTACAAACAGTTGAGGTCGAGCTCACTACGAGGTCAAGATCGAGCCCTTCCTTTCAAGAGGGTCAAAACCTACTATCCCAGATCTATGTGCTCGGGGGCCTATCAACTCGACATGAGCATGCCTATTCTTGAACCCAATATACTTATGCATCTTATGCTAAAAAATCTCACATTGTGCATGAGCTCCTGACATGGATGCACGGGGGCCTATGATGTGCACAATACTTGCAACAACTAATCTCGAACTCAAAAGCCTGATCCCGACCTCCCTCAATTATCCAAAAATTAAGGCCGGGCTCTAGGGTTTAGGTCGAGGCTTATGAGATCGAGCCATACGTAAAGATAACGATTACAATGTCCTTATCTAACAATTTTTACATGTTTTAGTCCTCCCACGACTCAATCATTCATCCTTGTCCAAATATTAAAAATATTACAATCCAAATCAAACTTCTAAAGATAATTGTGATATAACTCAATCACTATACAAGATAAGGATTATAAGTGGTTGAATTCTTTTACAACTCAACCACCAACATCTATAAATAGTGGACCAATGTTCATTATTGAGGTATGTTTTTACAATACAATTTTAGTATATACTTTCATATAAATTCCCTGTCTGACTTAAGCATCAGAGGGGCGACGAGCACACACCTCTTTACCTTTGTTTAAGGTATTGAAAGGCCTTGTTAGTGCTCGTTCTCGGCCTTCAATCTCGAAAAATCAACAGGTACAATTTTTGGCATCATCACTATCCAACCTACAATTCTTACCTAGCTAGACTCCCTTTTCGACTCAAACAGTGGTTGAATGCTTGGAACGAAAGACTAACTCTTTATCCTACAAGGATAAGGATCACACATGGCAAAGTCCTTCTAGGACTCTATCATTAACACCTATAAATACACAACCCAAGCTCATTCTTGAGATACGTTTTTCATTATTTCCAATTTATAGCCTCACGCACTAAATTCCCTATTTGACTTAAGCATCAGAGGGACGACGAGCACACACCTTGTTGCCTTTATTGCAGACATTCGAAGGCCGCTCGTGTTCATCAAAGTTCGGAGTTCAATCATCAAGTTCGAGATCTTTCAGATACTATTTTTTGGTATCATCAGGTACCAAGGATTATGTGCTCAAATTTCCAGGAATGGATGATTATATAAAAAATGGACATGCAAAAATGTTTGTTCCTAAATTGGAGACAACATATCTACCAGAAGGCAGCCATTTTGTGCGGGAGCAGTTTCCTCACCAAGTGAACCAGCTTATTCTCAACTTTCTTATCAACCACGGTTGATTTTTCTACTCCCTTCAAGATCTAGCCGCAATATGAATGACTTCAATTTGTTCAAATCCTCGTATCTGGTTACTTCAGAATTATCGTGTTTAAGATTGTTGAAAGTACAATTTAAATGAATAAATCCGTCCCCCTCTCATAATCTAACTTCCATCAGTATGGAGAAACCAAATCTTGAGAAATCCAACCTCTATGTTCAAAAATTGACATCGACCTCTAGTCTCAAATTTTGATCTCATGTCATGTTACAAGATTCTAAAGCATCATGGCTAAGGTCCCAAGAACTACAAATAAAGATACATCAGGTTGAGAAAAGTCCTCATCTCATGTTACCCTCCCGCAAAACATCAATCATATCATATATCCGCTTGTTTGCTCTCGATTGAACCTGCATGCACAAGAAGACTTCATATGCAGTACATGTACTTTTAAAACATGATTACAAGGGACAAAAGGAGGATTATACAAAACAAATGGGATGCCAAAAATGAGTTATACAACTATCAGAGACTTTTACTACCTTCTTGGCAAGGAAAAGTAAAGCATCAACAGTACCCTCAGCATAAATTGATCGCCCGCAAACATTGTGCTGAAACTCAAAGGAAACACTTCCGGAGAAAAACAAAAGAAAATAAGCAAATATTTGCTGCTGGCAAAAAATGATAGTATCATAACAACGTTGAAAATGAGGGTAAGCATATTACGTTCCATCAGGCGACGTCAAATGATACATATGGAAAGCATGGCCATATATATGCTCTTCTGGGACACCCACCATCTCAATTTGTAACTTGGGGTCTCGTATTAGTTGAACCTAATTGGATAGATTGATAATAAACATCAGAATGTAAAAGTTGAAAGCCTGAAAACATCATTAGAATTCCAAGCAAGAGCATGCCATTCTTCACAAGATATCATAAATAAAAGCACTCTACAACAAATTCACAGCGAAATATATCATGATGGCAAGATGCAGGATCGCGATGGACTCACACTCCTCTGAGCAGAAATGGGAAAAAATGATATCCACTTATTGCGAGTTAATTGGTCCAGCATAATCGGAGAACAATAAAATAACAAAATGAGAATAGGATGATAATCCCTCCATAGCTAGAAGTGTGATGTCCTAGACTTAGCACCTGAAAGCTATTAGAAAAGCAGTCCTTATAACTGCAGCAATTTCTGATAAAGCATCATGAACCAAGAATACATCAGCAACCTGAGCCTTAATCCCAATAAACTGTGTCAGTCACGTGAATCAATTTTGCTTTTCCATTTAATCCAGAGCTACCCATACTTAATGGTCCAAAGAAACCAAATCTTTTGCAACCATCTTGTGTTATAGTAATTTTACAATTTTAGCTTAGCTCACTGGTCAAATGCAGTGTCAATGATATCAGCCAGTGACGTATATTCTCAGTGCCCCCCAATTTCCCGAATCATATTTATCACGCTAATCTTTGCAACTTGATCACTCATCTCCAGAACCACTCCTCAACTTGAATCAATAATCTCCTCACCAATGAATTTCATTTTTTAATGGTAAGATATCAAAACAGTCAATCAACTCCCCCAATGCAGGAAAGAAAGAATGAGAAGAAAGGATGAGCAAATTATGACGAGCAGAGAGCACTGACTAGCACCCTAAAAAGTTGAGCTTCATCAAATAATAACATTTGGTTACTTTGCCTGAGGCTTTTTAACACACAGTATTTTGAACACCTTAGTCCTTAGGCTCTTTAAGTCGTCTTTGAGATTGATAGTAATTATTCGGAGTGCATAATTTACAAAGTGAAAAGCAGAAAACTCATAGCAAGAAACTTTCTAACTATTCTTTGTCATCGAAGTTAATTTATGCCAAGGAATACAAATTGAGCAAGAATTTCCATGATGGCTATGTTTCATCCTTGAAAGATGTGAGAAAAGAAATATAACTTTCAATAATATGTTTACAATGAACACCCCAAACGCACCTGATCTAGTTCAAAAGAGACTCCAAGTTTCTGAAAGCATGAGATGATAGCCTTAGCAGTTCCAGAAACATCCAATTTGCTAGCTTGATGGGACTCCATCACCTTATATAAGTTTTACCAGTGATTAAAAGAGAAAGTGAGTTTAAGACTTTTACTTTCAACTTCAAAAATGACTAACCAAAGTACATATGGGAGAAAAGAACATGTTCAAAGGATAAAAAAAAATAAGGAACAAAATGTCAGGCTCTTAAGCTCATGAATATTTTTTATATATCAGGAAAGATGATAAAACAAGCAAAACTGGGAACTTTCAAAGACCACTGAAAGATTATGATGAAGTTTTTGAGGTACATTGTCTTATAATGCAATTAAATAATGAACATTTACTGGAAGGTACTGACAGTCAGAAAAAAGGTATGCTTTCTTAAATATACCTTTTTCATCATTCTAAGAAACTAGGCATTTGTACACATCAATGACCCATTATATAGCTTATAAATAACTCCCTAATTTAAGTTGGCAGTAGATATTACTGGAGCTATCAGCTGATGGCAGTGGTGGCTCAGAGGATTTCATTACTATATTTTTATCTGCATGTTATTTGTAAGATAAAACGTGCACTCCCGTACACACAAACACACAAAGCCAATAAACTAATAAGAAAGAAAGGTGAGTTGTTCAATAAATTGTTGCATTCAGGAAAAAGGCCTGTGGAAAACTTTGTATTTGTAGGTATTAAAACTAAGCGCAGGAGAAAACTATAATAAATATTAACCTAGAAAAGAAAGGGAGTATAGAGACCTCACTTGTAAATGATACCCAGAGAAAGCTCCGGGAAACTGTTCTGCCATAATTTCCATGGCTGCAAGAAATGCTACCACCTAAAAGACATTAGTGAAACAGGTTTTATACAAGAAAACAATTGGGCATTATACATAATAAACCAAACAGCGATTGCAAAGTTCAAAGTACCTGTTTACCCATTTGTGGTGAGATCACAGCATAAACATTTGAGTCTGCAACAGTCTTATACAGCAGCTCCCTGTCTCCTCCAGTGGTTCCCAGTACAAATGGTACTCCAACTTTGCAATAAAGTGCAGCATTTTCTGTATACCACAATACAAAAAGAGCACAAGCTAAAACTTTGGATTCTAGCCTATGTAGCAAAAGCATTTTGGAAACTAAGTTAAACCTTTGCATTATACCGTAAATCAATGTATGCTTACCATTCACAGCAGCTGGGACAGTGTAGTCTACCACAATCAAGTTTGGATATTCATTTAAAACAGAGGATAGAATGTCTTCTCTTTGAGACATGCCATGAATTTCAATCTCCTTTCCACCAACATCCACAATTTTACCATTATCTTCTGGACCACCTAATGCTAAAGGAACAGGGTGAAGTCCAGCAGAAATAGCGGCTTCAAGAACAGCCCTCCCCATTTTTCCAGTACAACCATTTACCTGCAAAAAATTATGAAAAACAGAAATTATATAAGCTGCATCCAGAACACGAAAGCTTGATTATGCAATATAAGCTCCATTCGCAACACTTAAGCTAATACTTTTACATGGCTTTTATTTTAGTAAATCCTGTCATATTCAGGCCGAAAATAATGCTACAGTATTTTATCGGTGTTGTAAAATTGACATTCTAAATACCAAGCCTGCAATTCGCTTGTGTATGCAGACGCTGCATTTCAATACTGACTACCTGCAGATACAGGGAGATGCAACAATTTTACCAAAAGCTATAGCTCATCACCCCTATATCACCCAGAATTAAACCCGGGAACTCCAATTTCGGCCTCACATCGAAGGACAACTTAAAAGACGCTATTGGGTCATTCCCAAATAGCAAAATTAGACCCACCACTATCTCGATCCTGGGACTCCCGCCTCTGATACCTCTGATACAAAATGATGGAAAATGCAACCAATTTTCCCCGAAGCTATAGCTGATGGGGGAGTTGCAATCCAAACTCCGGATTGGCCTCACTTCGAAGGAGGCCTTACGAAGGCACTATTAGGTCATTTCCAAAACGCGAAAATAGGAATACCTCATTTCAAGCACCTGTACATACCAAGGGTTATGCAAGATTATACACAAAAGATCCTTTTTTGGCTCCGACTTTAGAACTGTGTATCTTATCACTGAGGTCTTAAGAACAAAATGTGCCGGCTTTCGATACACTCAATGCACAATTCTGTTTCAATCAATGAGCGATCGACTTCAAAACCGCACAAACCCATCTAACGAAACGGAAAAAATACAAATAAAATTAAAAATTTTGGAAAATCAACAAAATTTGAAATTACCATTATAGGGAGACCAACATTTTGCGATGTATTCGTATTCGCAAATTCAACAGACTGTGCTGGAGTACTTGCAGTCGCAACCATAAAATTTCGCCTTTTGGAAACATTAATACTGACATTTCTTCCTATTGATCTTCCACAAGACCATGGAATGGGCATAATCTTATGTTGCTGAGTAGCCAAAGCAGCATTGATTGGAAGTTTAACCATAAGCGCCATTCGTTATTTGTCCAAAAGACTCCGTCCAGAGGTTTAGGGTTTTACAGTTTCTTCTTCTCTCTTCTATATTTGATTTCTCCCAATTTTTTTAAAAATTATTCCAGGTGAGAAAATGGATTAATTAATGAATTTATTTATTTATCTTTTTATGTTGATAGTGAAATGAAGACCAACTGTCAAAAAAAGTTAACCTATCATTTAATATTACATTAACGTCGCACTCTGAACTTATAATCTCAATGAAGCTAAATAGCATTACTTGTCAAAAAAATAAAAGAATATATTGCAACTCGTTAAGCTACCATTTGTAGTTAAAAATGTATATCCAATTTTGGTTCAACTACAAAATTAAATTAATAATTAACTTTAATCACACATTTCATATGCCCACAATTTTTCAATCATATATTTCATCAATTTTTATAAAATTTTACTAAAAATCTGATTTCTATCTAAACTGAAAGGGGCTAAATTTTGATAAAAGTTGATGAATTTATAGTTAAATTTTTTTATAAAAATTGCGAAATTCATTAAAAATGTAGTTGAAATTAATTATTCACTCTAACTTAAATTCTTATCAAAATTTTAAACATCAATAAAGGGTGGAAGAGATTATCAACATTAGCACTGAACTCATCAGTCGGGTGGAAGAGATTACTATGCCCCCTCCTTGTTCCAATCGTTTCTTGGTCAGGCTTGATCCCGATCTAGTCACAATCTCAACACTCATCACTTGTACTTGTTCCAATCGTTTCTCGATCGAAGCTTGATCCTAGTATAGCCAATTTCAAAGGACTTATAGCTCGATGACGAGATATCAAGGCTAAAGATTAGACCAAGCCATGGCTAGCAAAAATAGTTTCTATAAAAGAAACCCAAGGGCCATATTCTTCTCCAATTTGAGTTTTACTCACATCTCGAATGAATTCAAGAACATATTCGAAGAAATGGTCTTACAACTTTACGGAGACCTGTGTTTTTGGTAAACAATCGCCCGGGTCTGGTCATTGTGACCCCCTTTGTGAGGATGCGCCCCTTCTCCCGAAGTCGATGACGAGATATCAAGGCTAAAGATTAGACCAAGCGATGGCTAGCAAAAATAACTATGAATCTGAGTCCAGGCTTTTACGCCTTCCATCCGGCGTTTAGTGCATCAGACCATTCTTCTTATTCTCTTTCAACGTTATAGTTAAGTTGGCCTTAAAATTGTCAAATTGGTACTCTCAAACTTGATATTATAATAAAAATTTCATATAGTGCACAAGTCAATTCAAGATATCAACCACAAGATACTCCCTCTAAGTAGTGCAATTCAAATTAGTAGATTAAAGAAAACAATGAAGTTGCGATTAGAGGTGTAAAACTGAACGGGGTAAAAACTAAATATCCAACCAGCTGCTTCATTCAAGATTTGATTACACCCCTAATAATTCTACCGTGCATCAAAAGGGAGCAGCTTCACTCACCAATACATTTTGCCACAAATCATAACTGTAAAAGCAAAAAATGAAACAGCCACAATTAAGTGCGAATACTGCAAAACTATTGGTTCGATCCCAAGTCATGCTTCCACCCCTATATATGTACAGAACTTAAGATGCCAGACAGCAGAGTAGATGAGAAACAAACAAAATTTTGACTCCACCCCCACAGAAAAATTACTTTCCTGTCCCACAAGAATATCTTTTCCAGAAGCTGAGGTCTGAGGATATGGATCCTGCCGTCGCAAAATGGTCAGCACTGGGCTTCTGAGAGCTGCCTACTAGGGCAAGATGCAGTTACTGAAACTGGCTCCGCCAATCCCGTCTGGTTGCATTTGCTTGTCTAGTAAATCTCTGCTAACACCAGAACTCGATCTATACTGCTCCGCAGCATCCACGAGCAAGCATTTCATAGCCCCCAAATCTGAACCTGGTGACAAATCGTCTTCACGCTCCGGCTGAATATTAAGGTCTATTTGACCTTTCAAAGGAGAGACTGAGGATTTTCTCTCATCAGGGTCATCAAGACAGGCCACTTGCCTTTCCTCATCCTGGTGCAGACTACTTTTTCCTATGTCATTGTTCAGATAAGTATCATTATCCACCTGCAGCTTCTGACAGGCACTTTCAGCTTCTTTTGCCAATTGTTTCTTCTCAGAACTCTCCATCAAGGAACTGAAACGATGCTTTAGTGATTCTGAGTCAGCAAAATCGCATATTTGCTTGTGCTTTGGGTTGTTTCCATCAGAAGGCTGAATGCAAACAACGCATGTACAGTTAAGTTTATGGCCCGCGTGCTTCATTTTAGTCTGAGATGAAGCTGGAAGGTCCACTCCCTCCGCTTGTATAGCTAAATTAGCAAGTGCATCAAGTCCTTCCTGTGCGACAACTAGATCCGAATTCTGTTCAGTAATTTTCTTTTTCTTACTCACTGTATAAAAATCATAAAACCATTAGCAAAAGTGATGTAACGTGCAAGTAAGACAAGCAACGTGCAAGAGAAGAACGGAATCTACCATCAGCAGTAGTGGATAATATATCTTCAAGCTGCTGGGTAGATAATTGCTGAGCAGTTGAACATAGAGATCTGATGTAGAAAAGAACACATAAATTAAGACGATGCATGAAACCATTGAAAACATAAGGTAACACGATTTCAGCAGATTATTGGTTGAAAAATTACACTTTCTCAGATTGAAGTATAATGCTATAGAATAGTTGCGATAAAAAATGAGGACAAATTGGACAGAGTACAAAATGAAAAATATATATTATATAAGAGTCCAATATACCTGTCCAGGCCCCATATATTCTCAGAACAGGTCCATCTTGATGGAAGTAGAGCATTTGCAGGCACTTTGCGCCACTTAAAACAATCCTCACATTCTACCCATTGGATTTTTTCACTAAAGCAAAAATAATAGCAAATGAACATTCCACAAGCAAAGTGATGACGATACAAGAGAGAGGAGGGGCAAAATATACAGATATTTATCAAAGAAAAGCATATTACCCAAAACGATCGATGGCAGGAATAGTTGGCCTTCCAATAATTGGTGCATTCTGCCAAAAAGAAAACCAACTCAGGACTGTGAAAAAGAACTGGCATTCATTTTAGCATCAAGCATATAGCTTAGTCAAGCAAGAAAAACACCAGTTCTTAAAAACCTAAAGTTAATCATCAAAAATAATTATGCATACATTTATCTTGCCAACAAACTTGAAAAGGACAATGTGTGAGATAAGTTATGGTCAGTGATAACTTCACAGTTGAGGGGCTCAGTCTCAATAAAATAGTTTATGCATCATTTAGCCCTTGTTGGGTTCCATTTTAATGAGGTTTTGGGAAAAATGTATTCTAGAATAGTAATTTTTTGAAGTGTGTGTGGTTAAAACATAAGAAAAAGTTATGGATTTATGTGTAATATGATTTTATTGAAGATTGTGTAGTTGAAAATGAAGAAAGAGAAAAAAATGCATTAAATTAAAATGGAGCACAATCAGGGGCTTAATGATGTTGCAAATCTGACAGATTCACTAGCATCTTTTTGGATCCCTACCTTTAATCCTAATAAGGGGTTTCTTTTGTAAAGAACATGGATTATAAACATCTCACAAGATCAAGTTTCAATGTGAAACAATGCTTACAAACATAATATAATATGCAACCACCTGATACTTATAAATAAGCTCCAACAAATATTTGATAATAGCAGTGCCCCAATACCTCAAATTCTTCAATTTCACAGCCTTCTACTGCAAAAACTGAGGGCACATTTTCAGGAGGTGGGCGCATAATTCCTTGAGCTTGGTTACATGTGAGCTTCAGTTCTATCATCTCTTCATTGTCAATCCTAAGGCGTTTACTTTTCAAACCAAAGATGCTATTCTTCCTCTTACTACGAACGACAAACTTATTTTCAAGTATTTCCTTCTTTGTGACCCCTGATTTATCAATTTCAGACCGGTTACTCCCTGAATCTGCTATAATAGCAGGGTTAAATGCAGGAAAGCTAGCTGGCATCAAATTACCTTTTACATGTCCATTTGTTACAACTTCCCCAGATTTGTTTTTACCACTATCATCCCCAGGAATTTTATCTCCAGCTAAAGTAGCTTTATCTCCCTGTAAAGAGAGCAATAAGATGAAAAAACAGAAGTTGAGTCTTCAAATTTCAATCAGAACACAATAAACAGAATGTAAAGTGTGTGTGTGTGTGTGTGTGTGTGTGTGTGTGTGAAGTTAATAAATGAATAATAAACATAATAGGTTGAAAACACAAGCACAAAGACACATGGTCTCATCATGAACAACCATTTTCATTGATCTATTCTGCCCCATTCAATTTAAATATTATAGCATCAGTAAGGGGCATGTCTTCTAGAAAAGAAGGCTCCCTATGGTCCATCACTACTCTCTCCGCCATCAAACTCCATTAACTTGACAGCTTTCAATCAACGGTGTGTTTGACCAGCTTTACTCAAAGAGTGCTTATTTCTCACAGTTCAACTAATATTTCTGGTAAGGGGATGAGTTGCCGCGGTCCACACAGCTTTTGGAATAGTACCTGTCAGACCAAAGACTTCCCCCCTTTCTTTTTCCTCTTGTGAGCATCCAGACACCTCTATCATGTCCCATACAAACATTTTGGAACAATACTAGAACTCCGGTTGGAAAGAAGAGCAGTGAAATAGTGGGGAAAAGCAAGAAAAAATAAATTACTGACCTCCATGAAGTCACCAGAGATTGTTACTGAGTATTATGGATACGAGTGTCAAATGGCAGGGCATATTTTTAATAGGAGTCTTGCTAGGCATTAGCTAATATTTTAAATCGGAGATATATCACTACATTTAATTGAATATATGTTTTAATGACACATGTTGCCACCAAGACCTGCATTAGCAACACTTGTGCTAGATAACATTATTCATTATAATAGTGCAAATTGCTTTTATATCCTTATATTTTAATCATGCCTTTTACACTATATTTGTCTCATTAGAGAACAATGTGGGCATGCAAAAATATATATTTTGTTGACTTCCTTCTTACAACAACTTTCTGACTTCACAAGATCAAAGTGAAGCTATATATAGCATTTTCAAGGCATATGTATGCTTGCCAAAAGGCCCTAAACTGCCATCCTAACAGCATTCGTTGCTAAATGTCACCACGGGTAGTGGCAAATACATAAAATTATTGCAAATATTGATTAGTGGTTAAATATGGAAAAGACAAACCTGGTCGGGTGGAGCAGTTGAAGCTTTTCTGCCTCCCATGACCAGCTTCCCCTCTGGCTCCAGCCTACTAAATGTCACTGACAAGAAATATGCCACCTCATTTTGTTTTGCAATCAGAAGAATGAAGTAGAAAACTCATTCAGCTATATTATTGTTAATAACATTACATGGACGTATACGTCTGCTTTTACCGCTGCCCATGGATGATATTCAAAAAAATATCAAATGGTGAAGTGTGACTACATTTTAATGGCAAAGTTGCACAAGTTGTTTTGCCAAAATTGTGAAGGGGAAATGTGATTACAGGCAAACAATTACCTACATCACCAGCTTGCAGTTCCATTGATTGTATACAAGGAGTGATTCCTTCTAAGACATACATTCTGCTATTATTATTTGGCCAAAATCGAAACTGGAATGACCATTCTTTCCCCTTCAAATCATGTACTTTCAGAGGTAATCCTTCAGGTTGAGAAATTGGTGGAAAGTAGGCCTGATTAATTGTAAATGAAGTTAGACTTCTTTTTTGAGAATATATACAATGAGTTAACAAGATAAACCTATCGAGTCTAACTTGGCAGGTAGTAGAGGATTTACGCAAACAACAATGTAACCTATAAGTGTGTATTTGCTAACAAATCTCCACTAGGAAATTCAAGACAGAGCTTGACTATCACTCTAACTTTGAGCAGACTATCACTATCTGTAATTAAATGGAATAGATGACCAACAACCATACATATAGTTCTAGAAAGCACCATTGCTCTGCAACAACAGTCACAACAGTGGAAAGTGTGTTAAACTAAGATAGATAATTTCCCCCCTCGATGCAAATGGACAATTTGAGAACTAGTTTGACCCCTCTCATGAGAGAACTATTTAGCTTTTTATTTAAATGAGAAACAGAGGTGACAAAGCTTTTGGTCAATCAACTGACTAAACTTAGAGCTTCAATTACGTTGCACCAAATGCCTGGCACTCAAAGCTATCCTTTCTCACAGACATGCATACACAAGGAACGAGTAATTGAAGGTTGCTCAGGAAATTTTCCACGCTCCTTCCCCAATTTTTAATAATTGATACCAAAGATATACATCATTCTTTGCTCTTTGAACAAAGCGTATAACATATTAATAAATCTAACACACTACAAGATCAGCATTAAAGATTTAATTTCTAAGATTTTATGAAATATTTATAAATCTAATAGCCTACAAAATCAGCATTAAAGGTTCAATTTCTAAGATCTTATAAACTATTTATAAATGTAAAACCCTACAAAATCAGCATTAAAGGTTCAATTTCTAAGATCTTATCCCATTATCTTTAACTTCTGAGTTCAAGCAGATCATTAAGATTGTTCCATTATTTTTTTAAATAGATTTAGCGCCAACAATGTATCAGTATCAAAATCAGAAACTAAAAATACACATACCCAGTAGTTATTCATAAATATAAATGCATTCAGAAAAAAATCATTATTTATAAAATATGCACGTATTAAAGAAACACTGCATGCATAAATAGTAACTATAGTGCTCATATACAAAACTAAATCATAACCCAAATACAGTATATATGTTAATATAAAGAATTTGAATAAAGCACATTAAAACTTATGGACTCACCTCGGCACACTTTTTTGGCAGCACTAAGCGCCCAATCCGTCCAGCATCACTGGCGCTCAACATTTTCTCAAACAAAGGAGTAATTACTGAGCTTGAACTATCAAGATGCTAAGGTAATATCAAGGTAATAAATTGCAGAATTTCAAATCAACGCACCAATTTCAGTTAATGATGAAGTTCTTATAAATCCATGCAGGTGATGTAATACATGATTTAAAAAAATAGTAACACATTTTATGAAAAAAATTCTAATTCCATAACAGTCGTAACAATAATCACTAAGACATGATAAAACTGCAAAATGCCTTCTATGACCACAGGATACGTGCCAGAAATTTGTTGTAACTCCTTGTCAGTTATTCGTGGCCAATATCGAGGAAGCAACTGATTTCGGCCTCGGACATCTCCTCGACATTTTCCATTGCGCACTTGAGCCTCACCAGATGAGTCCATTCCATTATGAATGCAAACCTGTTTGCCCACAAGAGTTGGAAGGGATGGCGATTGTAAAACAGTCGCAGAAGCCTGGTCAAAATCATTTACTTCATTTCTAAATGGAGGAGATGCAGCCAAACTCAATTTAGAAGTATGCGAATCATTCTTGGGGAATGATCGTAGATGAGAAACATTTACAGACGGATTAGGTTGCTCCTCCTTACTGAGTCCTGCAAGAAAATGGTTTGCGTCACATTCTGATACAAATTTTGCATTCACGAACGGCGGAAAGAAATAAATGCAAAGGAACCAAAAGCTACATCACTCTATTTAAAAAAGAGTCACAAAAGTAGTTACCAGCAATTCTGTCCTCAACACTTTCAAATGGACCACTTGTCAACTTCCCATATATTAATCTTCCAAAGGAGTTCTCTTCTTTCTTCTCAAGGAATGAGCTAGATAATCTCTCACAAATACGGAATCTATCAATGCCGTCTGACATATCAACTTCAAAGGCCATCCTTGGCTGCGACTCAAGTTGGAAGCTAGAACAGTTAAATAAACTGGGTGCCTGCCGCCAAGGGATTGGACCTGAGCCAGTTATTGCACTCCAGTTTCTAGTTGAGATGTCTTTCATTCTTTCAGGCTCTGAAGAAAGGAAGTGTGGAGGTGGGGGCCATGCAGGATTTGGAGTCTGGAGAGTGGAAAAATAAGTTAAAGATAAGGGCAAAACCATTTGTTGGGATGTCAAAATATTAAATTATAAAGTAAACCATTATAATTAGCAAAAACACGAGAACTCTTTGATGGTACTCCATACAACTCTTCATAAAAACAAAATCAAATAACAGACTCAAATTTACAAAAACATTTCTTTGTATCAATAGTGGCTGCGAAGTATCTGATTGCATTTGATTTTGAGTGAGGGATAACATAGAGCGTAGAAAAGGTTTTAAATTAAATATTTTCAAATGTACAAGCACTAAAGCAGAAATGGTGACATGACAGCAATTCAATTGCTTTCGAATCCCATATAAAACAGAAAACTCAGTAAAAAGAGTCAGAAGAACCATACCAAGATATTATTCTTTGCACATGATAAACACTCAATCCCTCCAGCATCCAATAGTATGAACATATGGAATGAAGCTATACAGCCACAATGTATTCGCTGCAATGAAAAATTCATCACTCGTAATTTCAATATTGCAAAGTGGAAAGGTGAACGTCATAATTTAATATCCAACCACTAAGAAAACAGGAAATATTTCTCTTTTAAGTAAAAAGCCACACGTATGAAACTAGCTAACCTTTCCACAAGATTCACAACATCTCCAACCAGAAGCATTCAAGTGGAACATTTCGCAAAATTTCCCCTCCTCATAAGCAGAACTAGATAGACATGGAATTACATCAAGTCTGATAGCAAGTAACAAAAAAGCTGAAAGCCAAAATAACGTTATGAAGCAATCTTCTTCCAGATATATCAGAGGAGGATGTAAACATGATACAGCTTACAGCTGAAGTTCCAATTAGGCAAGTTATAGTTTTTGAAAAATTGCTTTAAGTCCTAATTTACACATCAAAAACCATTTAATCCAACTAAACTCTGAATAACCAATGAGTCACTTTTCCCAACATATTCCAAGTAAATCAATTTTGCTGTAAAGTCCCTATCAAGATATGAATATTCAGAAAAAAAATTGAAAGTAATTTCTCATACAAAATGATAGAGTTTGTCAAAGCCAAAATGGGAGAGCCATCAGCATTCAGGTCAAAACAGGATGCAATGCAGTCCACCATTACATGAAGATGATATTAGATTCATGAATAAAACGAAAAGGCAGATCATATCATACTTATGCTCTCTATCAATAGTCATGTGAAGTTCACCTGAAAAGAAAAGGAACTAGGCGGGCAACAAATGTCTAGTCTTTTCGTTAACAAATTATTAATTTTTAAATGGGAAACAGTAAATGGAATTTATTGTAGACCTGCCCAATCACTGTACCGTAATTATGCAGAACAGCTGACAAAAGAATATATCAATAACAAAAATAATATTAAAGAATTTGAAAACGAACGGTATTCTCCACAAACTATTTTTCATCGAGTTGAATCTGAGCAAAATCTTTAACTACATTGGTTCATATTAACACCTATAATTCAAAGTTTTCAATTTGGCATTTTCTTGGTTGAAAGTTTACACATTTTTTGCACACTCCGAAAACTTGCATTTTTCACACAAAATTTGCGCTGGCAATAATAGGAGAACAAGCATGTCAATCAACAAAAATGCACATTCTGGACCCAATGCTCACTCACCAAAATGCACTACTAGTTCTCCACAATGAACATAATGCAAATGCTGGCCATAGATCAGGGACAATCAAAATTCTAAACTCCATTAGAAAAATTTCAGATAAAAATTAAAAATTCGTGGCAGTACGATAAAGTTCAAATATTAACACAACAAATTCCAACCACAAAACAAAATATATTTATACTTTTATTTTTCTCTACAAACGATACAATCACGCAATAAGAATTCTTATCATAATCCAAACTTCTTGAGCATGATTTTCACTTTCCCCTTTTCCACAAAAATAGAAGCAAAATTCAAACTTCAAATAGTAAACTAGTAAGAAATAGAATGTAGACAAGAAGTCAAACCAATCTAAAGCAAAACAGAGGAAATTTTCTTACGCGCATCCATCACAGAGGTCAGCGTACTCGCCGGTACGGCATCGCCAACCTCTCCTCCACTTATCCGACGCCTCTTTGCAATTCGAATTGAAGCAAGTCTTCGACATAACGTATAGAAAACCTAACCAAACCTATAGACACAAAACTGCATCTAAAAAGGTAGCAAAAAATTACTGTTTTACTTAATTAAAATTGGAAATGATAGTAGAATTTGAAGCCATTTTGAGAGAGAGACAAGGATTACTTGGGAGAGGGTTTTAGAGTTAGAAAGAGAGAGGGGGAAACTGATGACGAAAAGAAGCGAGAGAAAGTGCTTACATCACTGTGTGTGTGCTCGCTTTAAAAAAGGCACGTTGGTTGGAGCTAGGGGTGTCGCTCGGCTTAGCTCATGAAAGCACGAGCTCGTCATGAGCCGAGCTCGTACTTGTTTTGAAACAAGCGGCACATCCAAAAATGGGCGGCTCGGCTGGACCCGCAAGCCCTCGTGGGCAGCTCGTGGACCAGCTCGTGAGCCGAGCTGAGTTCTGCTCGCGAGCGTTTTTGTTTTTTTTTTTTTTAAACAAATAGTTAAATTAAAAAATAAAAAAGTAATTTTAATTTTTAAATCGTCAATTTTTTATATAAAAAATTAGGTAAAAAAATTTAAACTCTCCTCCTTTATCCGGACTTGAGACCGGCTATTTAAATTTAGAGTATACGGAATTAAAAATTGTATTGTTTGTTTATTTGTTCGTGTGCGATTTTTTAAAGAAAATTTAAAACAGTATTAAAATTTATTTTTTCAAGCAACGCTGCGCGTCCCCTTACATATAATTTTCGAAGTAAATCCCTTCTAAAAATTGAAAAGGAAATCGAATGCCCTTTATATAATTTTCGAAGCGAAAGACTTCTGACAATTGAAAGGGCAATCATTCGATTACCCTTTCCATTATTAGAAAAAATTTATTTCGAAAATTATATGCAAAGTACGCACAGCGTTGTTTGAGAAAATAATTTAAAATGTAAACATATAGTAGTAATAGTACTAAGCACTAATAAAAATTTAACTAAATTAGTAGAAAGAAATTTTTTTTTCATTTTTTTAACTAAAAGAGATATAAAAAAATAAAAATAAAATATAAACCCTCTTCCTTTATCCCCGCTTGGGACTAGCTACTTAAATTTTCAGTAGGCGGAGTTAAAAATTGTACACAGATAATATATTGTAGCGTGTACAATTTTTTAAAAAAAATTAAAAGTAACGATAAGAAAATAAAAGTTTCATCAATATAATTAAATCAAATATTACTTACTTGACGACAGGCAATTTCGACATATTTATCTTGTAGTCGAAGACGAGCGTCTTGCAAATCCTTAATGCACATCAATGCTTCTAAAATATATTCTTTCAGTCAGCTCCTAACCTCGCTCAAAACTCTTTTACCTGCACTAAAAGCAGACTCCGAAGTAACAGTGCTAACCGGAGGTGTCAGCAGATCTTTTGCAATCGCAGATATAACTGGCCAACGTCGTTCATAACTTCGCTAGAATTCAATTACTTCGTCTGAACTTTTTTTAATTGTTTTATCTATTGGCATATTCTGGTTGAAATAATCAATTAATTCAGCAGGCAATACATTATGACTTGAGCCCGTAGATGTTTGATGAGAATGAGATACAGATAGTGACGACATGGCAGTGGCAGTAGATGAACACATTGCAGATGAATCATATCCATACGAATTAATGCCTTGAAATAAATTAAATATTTTCGCATCTTCTGCTTCGATTTCAGCGGAAGGAGTAGGTACAGATGGTACCCGACTAATATTGGTACTCATTCGGTTCGCATATAATTCTTACATTTCACATAATGTTTGCTCTAAATTTCTATATGAAATAGGTATATCAAATGTTAAGGCATTTATATATTTAGTTCTCGATAAATTATATCGGGGGTCCATCACGCATGCTAAAGGAAATAACATAGGCAAGGGTTCCCAGTATTTTCTAAATTTTAATTCCATAACAATTATAATTTCACTAAAATCAGGGTCATTTTTGTATTTATGAAATGTTCTTGTAATTATATAAAGACGTTCAAGTACCATACAGCTAGTGGGATAGTAAACGCTCGATAAAATCTTAGTGGTTTTATAAAACGATGTCAAAAAAATTTTAACTTTCAAAACTATTTGCCAATCGCGTTCAATCAATATACCATCGTCATCACTTCTAACGTGTCTATTATTATAAAAGTTAGTTATTAAATGTTCAAAACCTTCACATGACTTTAATAACAAGTAGAGTTCACCGCTAACAAATATTTTAGCATTTTGCACTCCTATATCGGCACAATAATCCTCAAATGTCTGTTTTCTACTTGGAGAGATTGTGATATATATTAGTACGTTCCTAATATTTTGAAGTTCATCATTTATATGTTTTAAACCATCTTAGACAATTAAATTCAAAATATGACATACACAACGAATATGAAACAAATACCCACCAAAATCAGGTTGCAGTACCCTATGCAATTTATCGACAACTATTTTATTAACACTAGCATCATCGAAAGTAAATGAACGAATTTTACTTTCGCAATGATATTCTCTAACAATACTAATAATAGCATTAAATATATTATTAGCGTTGTGAGGAAATCCAATAATTCTAAAAGCAATAATTTTTTTATGCATACACCAAAGTGGGTCTATATAATGTGCAGTTGCAGCTATATATGCTCTTTTATTAATCCATTCCCATATATCCGAAGTTAAAGATATAACACCCCCATATTTTTGCAAATCCATAATTAATTGTTATTTTGTTTCAGTAAAATATTGTATTGTATCGGAACGAAGAGTGTTTCGATTTACCCCAACGTATCTTGGCCGCAGATATTCTTTTATATACGAGACGTAGTGTTGGTTGTCAATTAATGCCAAAGGCAACTCAGCACCAGCAACAAGTTTCACCATTCCGATTCGAGCTCTCTCCTCCGAATACACCCATGTGGATAGGGGTGCAGCAGAACCACCTGCGTCTGGACTGCCAAATTGCAATTATGTTTGACAGCTTGGAATAAGTCCGTGTTTGGCCGCACATATTTTGTAATGGAGGTTGAGATGGGTGGTACCGATTCCTCTTTGCCATGCCAATATTTGTTGTCAGTATTTACATACTGTTTTGGATTCTAGGACTCCACTGACAATTTTTCCCATTGAAATCAACTTAAAGTGGTCCCAACATTTTGCTTGTTTTTTCCCCTTTCGCTTTCCCCTCGCATCAGGAATGTTTAATTCAGAATTTTCTTCCTGATCGTGTTCCGCTTCGGGAACGTCAACATCATCCAAATTAATTGAATATTTTGGATTGCCGCTTATATGATGATGAAGATCCAAATCTGAAATATTTCCATGTAGGGGTACGTCATTTAGACCTTCAAATTGATTCCGAAATTGATTTTGTGGTATCATAGGCGATTCGTTTTCTCCCACACCGAACAAATTTTCGACAAATGTGCGTGAATCCATTTGTTCAATTGTAATAAGTAATAACTAGTAAAAGAATAATTGTATAAATGTAGCGAGAAAATGAAAATTGGATGAAATTTCAATAAATATAGTGAAAACTGGGAAATGAGAATTGGATATTGTATAAATTGTATATAAAAATTGCATAACTATCAACACAACACAAAAAAGTTGAGAGTGAATTGTAGAAAATTTTGTGGCTAAATGCCACTATTTATAGAAGAAGAAGATGGGGAAAAAAATTTAAAAATTAAAGGACCAAAACAGTCACTGAAAAAACTTAGTGACCGTTAATGATCATAAATTTAAAAATTAAAAATTAAAAAAAAAATTTCAAGGACCGAAACGGTCACTGAAAAAGTAATCGTTTCAGTCACTTTATAAACGAGCCACGAGCTGGGCTCGTCGTGAGCGGCTCGTTTAATTTGCGAGCTGAATGGGATCGGCTCGCCCACCGAATCGGCCCGTTGGGCTCTCGCTCGAGCTCTTGTTTTTAAGAGCTCAAGTCGCCCATGAGCTCCGTTTTCGCGAGCTGAGAGCCGACGAGCCGATCGACCAATTTGCCACCCCTAGTTGGAGCTGAGTATGCATATTTTGGCATCGTCGTTTCTCTTTCACTGCATTGTCGTTTGGTCGTCGTTGACATCGGATCAAATTCCACATTTGGATCTCAAGGCCTATTTTGAGGCCCAATTCTAACCACTGAGGATAAGTTACAAAGCTTTTAATAAAAAATTTAGCGGATAAAATTTATGGGTTTATGAACGCTCATTATAATTAATTAGGGGTTGCAATGTCTCAAGATTTATCATACTCTTATATTAATATGACCAAGAAGAGTCAAATAGTATTAGAAATGTGAAAAATAAAATTCAAAACAAAACTCTTATTTTTTAATTAATTAGGGGTTGCAATGTCTCAAGATTTATCATACTCTTATATTAATATGACCAAGAAGAGTCAAATAGTATTAGAAATGTAAAAAAATAAAATTCAAAACAAAACTCTTATTTTTTAATTAATTAAATTCTTCCATACCTGATTTGTCAAAAATAAAATTTAAATATTGATTGATCTAATTTCCCTTTTTTATTGCTTACTTTTCGAGGTCCATCTAAAAAATGGATTAGAATTCCATAGAAGCCCATTAAGGGATATCTTCGTGTATGGAAAAGGCCCAGTTAAATGCAAGGCATATCCAACTACAACACAGGCCCGTTTTAAAATCTTATTCATACAACAATAGGATGGACACCACAGGCAAGGGTTTTTCCAATTTGATTGCTTTACTTGCTACTTTGTCAAGATAAAGGAAGATGACGTCAAGACCGGAGCTGCAGGCACCGCCGGAGATATTCTACAACGACGATGAAGCTCGTAAATACACCTCCTCTTCTCGTATTATTGAGATTCAGGTAACACGTTTACATACATACACAGACGTGTAATTCTATGCCTATCTCCGTAATTAACTGTATTTTTTTGGTGGGTTCTAAAAGGCGAAACTTTCGGAGAGAGCGCTGGAGCTTCTTGCATTGCCCAATGATGGCGTCCACAGATTATTGCTGGATATTGGTAATTCCACTTGTATATTTCTATGGGATTTGTAAGTCTTTTCAATTTGCATTTAAAGTTTGCAAACAAAATAATCCCTTTTTCCCAATAAATTTGATAACTTGGAAATATAGTTTGGCATGGTGTAGAAAATTCTCGAATGTCAAACGACTGTGGCGTCTAAACCTGGAAGCGTCATGTCGGTGGTTTCTTTAAGTCATCACATTGAAGCTCTAGGTTAGAGTTTCCATAACTCACTAGCATTTGGTTGTGTAATAGTGTCAAGACGAAAGTTAAGAAGCAAATACGCTTTATATTTTGGTTTGAAATATCTTTCATTGAATGTTCAATCGACTGAAACATTGAACCGAATAAGTGTGTTTTGATGAAGAGCTGTCGGTCGTGTATTTTAGCTTTGGATCCTTCCTGTTCCCGAAGAGAATGCAAGATGGTACCTTAAGAACAGGCTTATGGCTATAGTCATTCTTGAAAATAAGGAACAACTGTTCAAATTTTAATTTGATTATACTTGAGGTAGTGAATAAGTTTGCTTCTTATTAAGTTAAACTTAAAAGCTGAAAATTCAAGGATTACACAAGTCTCAGACTCGTGCTATAAGGTTCTGAATTGCAAAAAAGCCACCTAGAATATGTTTCAAATTAAGTAGGTGCATGATTTTTTGGTCAACTCTATAGTTTAATTCCTTGAGATATTTGTATGTGCGTCATCATGTTGCCAAACTTAAATGTATCTTCTTCGAAAACACTTACTTGAATCTGAGGTCATATTGTACAAGTGTTCTTAAATTTCTCGTAAAATAATTATTGCTTTGGCATGTTTTAGGTTGTGGATCTGGACTCAGCGGGGAGACATTGACAGAGAATGGACACCAATGGATTGGTTTAGATATATCGCAATCAATGTTGGGTATGTGGATTTTTTGTTAGAGTTCAGTTGAAATATATATTTGCTCTTGTCTCTATATTTGTTCGTTAACATATTTTAACAAATCCAGATGTTGCGTTGGAACGTGAAGTCGAGGGTGACCTTGTACTTGGTGACATGGGTCAGGTTGGCATCTGAATTCAAACTAAGCCCTGGGAGTTTAACATTACGATTTTAGTATTATCTAGACTATGATTGTTGGAGCTGCATATATCTAATATCTCTACCCATGCCTGTTATTTGAATTTAAGAAAATATTCATTTCCTTATCGCCGTAGTCCAGTTTGTAGCTTTTTAATTTGATTTTGCTGATTGTTGTCGATGGATGCTAACATGTATGATGAAACATTGTAGGGCTTAGATCTTCGAACTGGGGTTATTGATGGTGCCATAAGTATTTCAGCTGTTCAGGTTCGTGTTCTTCTCATACAGATATTTTGTTCTATAAGTAGCACATGTAATTGATTCCTAGTATGACAAGCTTGGAAAGTAGAAGACATATTTCATAAGGAGGCTGATGCTGCCAGCTATAAAAAATTGCCTTCACTAAAGATCATTACTTGATGGTTTTCTTTACCTTGACATGTTTTAAACAACTCGTGCTCATTTCTTTTTACTTTTTCTTGAGCAGTGGTTGTGCAATGCTGACAAATCCTCTCATGAGCCGCGTATAAGATTGAAGTATGTTGTGTGTACTTACTTATTCTTTCATGTTTTGCATATGCATGTTATTAGTGGAATTGAGGCCTCTCACTCACTGTGATGGAACTGGAATTTCTCTTCTGCATTTGTGTTCTAACGTTGGATTATATCTGTAGGGCTTTCTTTGGGTCATTATACAGATCTTTGGCTCGGGGAGCAAGGGCAGTGTTACAAGTATATCCTGAAAACCTAGCTCAACGTGAGCTGATCCTGAGTTTTGCCATGCGAGCTGGGTTTTCTGGGGGTGTAGTTGTTGACTATCCACACAGGTGTGCCAATGCATATGCTGGAGCATCCTATTTATTTTGTAGCTTTCTTTCGTCTGGAAACCTACCTTTTCAACATCGAATATCATGAAATAGGTGGAATAAAATTCTAAAGTTACTTTAGGTCTGCCTCTGTAGAGGCTGCTTATTTAAAGTATTGTTTGTTGTTTTAGAAGAGATATGGATCTCCTGTTTGTTCAGAATGAGCTCTGTGTTGGTCTCCTAGTCAATATGGTTTGCACCGTCATCATCAGTATATTGTAAACTTATCCCAGATAGCTGTTACTGACATTTCATTCTCAACATTTGTTAAGATTTGATATTTGCTTCCATATTTACTTTAAAAGAAAGATTATAGAAGAATGTCTGTTCATGATATATGTTTGTCGCGCTAATTGGAGGTACGTCTTTCTTAGAACAGTACAAAAAGTAGGAAAGAATACCTTGTGCTCACTTGTGGTCCACCATCACTAAGCAGCGCTGCTCCACGAGGAAAAGGTGAAGATGGTGAGAGCTGTTCTGATGAAGACAGCAGTGGAGACGAAGATAATCAATCAGTGAGTACCTTATTATTTACAAATTCATTTAAAAAATTAATCGACTTCCTAACTTAAAGCCTATTGTTTATTACTTGATGTACATTAGGTGCCATTTTCATTTTACTGTATTGCAGTCATGTAAATTCATTACTGCATTGCAGGTTTGTGTATCAGACAGACATAGACCAAGGAAAAAGCAAAAATTAAACAAGAAGATGAAGGGAAGGGAATGGGTTCTGAGGAAGAAGGAACAGAGGAGGAGAAAGGGGACTGCCGTGCCTGCAGATACCAAATACACTGCCCGCAAACGAAAGGCACGCTTTTGATGGTTATCAAGTCTTATTGGTGTGGTTCCACTGCAGTGGGAACTTTAGATGAAAACTCTGAATCTCATATCAAATACATCCGAATTAGTTTGGACTACACCAAATTTTGACCCCTTTTTTTTGGCTATTTCTTTGTGATTGCCCGAGAAAGTTGTTTGTGGGACTCGAGTGTTGTCCTAATATTACTCCAGTTGTGTTATAATATTCTTGTTTTATGTTGTTTTGCAAGACAAATGACATGTTTTCATATTTGTCCCAATGTGATTCCATACACAATTAGCCTAATTCCACCTGGTAAAGCGCATCCGAGTTGATGAAACAATGTCTGTAGCATCTAGAAGTCGAACATCTTAATTTTAAGATGCATTAATACGTCGATTAAAGACACTTCCATACAAAGAGTTCAAAATCCTTTCAATCTTCAAACTGATGACTTCATAGCACGTAATCAAATCATGTTTTCATATTAAAATCAGCCCCTATTTGGCCCTTGCTTGAGCCCTATTTCCCCTTTACTTTAAAAGAACGGGTCTAACATTTACTGTTCAACTTGAGGTAGAGGTTTCACACTGAACTGGTTTTGTACTGTAGCTGAACTTGTTATACACTATTCATCACAAAAAGAAAGAAGTTCTTCTGGAAACAATAATGAAATGTGACTGTATTATTGCTGTCTTTGTTGACTTTATAGAACCATTTATTAACGGTTATTGTAGCTTCACTTAAAAAATATTCTCTCACTTCGTTAGATGTAGTAGCTTCCAGAAATGAAATTAATGAGACTACTTTATTGCTTTCATTGTTGACTTACACAATTGAATTACTGTAGTTGTCGCTTCCAAAGGAAATCTTCTCATGCATCATGAGAGAGTGAGGCAAAAATTCTGGTAGCCAATTATAGGAATTTTTATCATGCCAGTTACTATTCATTGAGGAAGCATTTCATTATTTCCCTTTTTTCCCTTACGTTCATACCAATGAGTCATTCACTCCTAACCAAGTACCCTAAAATTGGAGACTCCACGCAACACGGAGTGTTCGGGCGAACACTCCGCGTAGCGCGGAGTATCTAATTTTCTGTGAATATATTTTTTTTACGAGACGTATTTTTGATAATTTGGTCATAACTTTGGCTACGGTTATCAGAATTATGCTCATGACCCTAATTCGGAAAGCTCTTTTCGACACACACGTCATGGCCATCGAGCTTTGCTGGGTGGGCATCATTTTTGAGGTCAAAATGTTTTCCCTTCCAAATCCCCAATTATAGTTATTCTCTTCTTTTTACGACATCTTTTATTTCTAAATATTTATCCTACGTCAAAAAAATAATTGACGTCATTCACTTTTTTTAAAAAAATTATGTAAATTATATTGAGAAATTATCGCGCAAAAATAATAAATATTAAGAAAATAATTGATTTTTTGAGAAAAATAGAAGAGTTATATGCATTTTTTAACACACACGTTTAATATACGTTTAACTATTTTCAATATTCATTTAGATTATTCGATGTGTCTATAATATAGTTTTCAAAATGAGTTTTCAGAGAATATAGAACATTTATGGATTCGATTTCTGTATAATTATCGATGAATTTTTAAAATTAGCTTGTTATCGAAATTTTTAATTTTTTGAATGATGTTTCTTTTTACACGAAAAATAATTAAAAGTTTATTAGGAAATTTTCTAAATCCCGTCACCAATTTTATTAGATTATTTACAAAATTAATTTTGTAGTAGTAGTGATATATTAATTAAGTTGAAAATTTAAAATAGGATTGAAGGATAAAATGGAAAAATAAAAATACTTCACAAATGAACAGTAAATGGTATATTAATAATTATTTTCAGGAGTGAAGTGGGATATTATGGAATATTCAAAGATAAAATAGGGATTCTTTCTTATTTCATAATCATTTTTTATGTCATTTTTCTCTTTGGGTCAATAAGTATAGTTTTACAATATTCGGAATGGTTTTATTTAAAAATCACAATAGACGTTCTTACAATTTATATCTCTTCAATTCTATTTGATGATTAAATTAATAGAGATTCATTTGGGAAAAAAATATATATTTTACTAGTTTATTTGTTTTTCTTTTTGTTTTTCTTTTGTATTCCAATTTATAAATTATTCTTCAAAAAGTGAAGGAATTGAAAGTTTCTGAAACTCGTTCAATTATTTGTCCCTATTTTTTCCTAACAAAATAAAAGAGGTACTGTTCATCCGATTTTTTTTTTCTATTTTTTTTTTACACGGCCTTATCGATTTACTGCAATTAATGTAAATGTATCAGATATTATTTTTTTGTCTTTCACGCAACTCCCTCATCTCTTCATAGTTGTATCCCTCTTTTATTTTGTTAGGATTATTTCTTCTCACCGTCATTTCTCTCTCTTCTCACCATCATTTCTTTTCCACTCTTCTCACTGTCATCTCTCTTCCTTTTTTTGAAGAATCTTCTCCTCATCATTTCTCTGCATATTTGCAAGAATCGATTTTCATGAACCTTGGAGGAACTAGGTCATATTCTGTAAGTTTAGTCATCAGTGCTTAGATTTCTTCTTTTTTTTCGTATATATATCTCTCATTCAGTCTTGCAACTATCTTCTCATCGTCATTTTTCTACGCATTTTGAAGAATCGATTTTCACAGGGATTGGAGGAACTGAAGTCTTTGATTTTCACGAATCTTGGAAGAACTGGGTCATAAATTTGTAAGTTTAGTCATCAATGCTTCGATCTCTTATTTTTTTCGTATATTAATTTATTATTTTTCAGATTTTGGAGTCGCATTGTTTAATTTATGTTGCTTTCGGGGTTTTTCCTTCTTTTTCTTTATTCATCTTTGAAGGATCCATCCCCAAAATACGTGCAGTAATGTTTAAGGGATCGTTAGGTTACTGTGAGTTTGTTTTTTAGTTTCTTCAAATGTGATTTTCAATATGAAATTCCTTTTTCAGCCTACAAGTTTTGATCCCAAAATATGTATAATTACGCTTTAGGGACTGTTAAAGAATTTATGGTGTTGTGTATGTGCTCTTGACTTCTTTTAAATGACCTATGAATATGTTTTTTCTTGTTAAGCATGAGTTTGACACCAAATTTTTTTACCTTCTCTTGAAAAATTGAATTATAACTACCTAAAGTTTGTTATTTTGATGGAACGCCTTTTCTAAGCTTCCTTTTTGTTCCTCTGAATTTGATTTTCACATTGGATGAGTTCATTGTACGCTTTCTTTAAGTTTTTTCCATTAATTTTCTATATTTATGTGAATGTAATGGTTGAGTTCATATTTCAATTTTCTGTACGCATATTTGTAATTCAGTTAACTATCCTATAAGCTACTCTGCATGTGGATATAATTTTTTTTCTTCATATATTCATCGACGTGGATTGATAAAAAATAATAAAATGTTTACATATGGTTCACATGATGGCTTTTTCATTCTTTTTCGTTTAGTAGGTTATTATTCAATGTCACCAATACATTGCGTCGTATTTACAGGTGTAAATTTTGTTGATACACATTTCGATTTAATTTTTTCCTCTTTAACGATTATATTTTACTGAAGTGTGTACCTATTTAAATGTGGTAAATAAAAACAAAATTTTTTCTATTGGATAATTACAACAGTATCACAGAAATGAAGTCATTAAAATATTTCAATGGTAAATTGTTACATGAATAAGATAGCCTTCGATGGAGAAAAATACTATTTGGTTGAAATAAATACTTGAAAATTTTAGTGGAATTGGTATCATGTACCAACATCCAGAAAGGCAAAACAATTGCACAACATCAGTTACTCGACAATGCAATAGCTATTATGAATTGATAAAAAAAAAATCTTGATATTCTAGAGCCAATTTAAGGCAAAAATGAATTTTTTAGTCAAATTGATCAATTTTCAAGTCAATAGCATACTAAAAGGTAAGGCAACACATAAATTCAATAAAATATCGTATTTCAATTTTGTTGATAATTATCTCTTTTATTGTGCTTTTTTCCTAGAACAAATAAGAACTTTCTATTACTACTGAACATTTAACGTATATATTTATCAATTGTCTCTGTAGTATAAATATTATGTCAAACAGGGTTGATCTACCACACTATTTCTTTACCATTATTGCAAGTTCATTGGGCAATAACGATCGTTTGATGAGTTCTAAAATGATCTCCTTGTTAGCATTTATTCATTGGGCCGTAATATTCGTTTCGTGAGTTTTACAACTAAATATAGAGTAAATAATATTCCTTACGAGAGTTATATTTTTTTATAGTTGAACCCGACAACTTTTGTACAACGCTTAGGACACGACCTTACTGATGCATTATGTTTGATTGGTTATGATGAAATTATCTTCAGCATACAACTCGAAAGAGTTGATGATAACATATATCTTGTTGTTGGATGGCCATAGTTTTTTGACTACCATAATTTGCAAGATGGTTATGTTATTGTCTTTGAATACAAAGAAAATTCTATTTTCGATATTTCAATATTTAACCATTCAGGCTTAGAAGTGACGTATGAGTCTGAGAGATTTGAGGTAGAGCTTTTACGTAGTGGTAATCCTATTTTCCAAGTAACATTAGAGGCTGCTCGCGATGGTCATAGAATAATTGTGAGCTCCTCTTTCATTGGAATTTCTTCTACCCTTATCTTTCTCAAACTACACGTATGAAACATTTTCATATTTATTTTTCTCATCTAATTCGAAATTCCACAACTTATAGATTTGTCATTCAATTTTGTAGTATGTACCCCTGGCGCCTTCGCTCGATTGTATCTACCAAAAATTGTCCAGAGTGTTCAAATCCATGATAGTTCACATCATAATTGGCCAGTACGAATGAATCTAAGAACCAATGGTTATGTGCGACGTTTCACCGTTGGTTGGGCGGATTATGTGAGGGAGAAACAACTTCAAATAGGTGACACGTGTATATTTGAACTTATGGACGATGAAATCCCAATGTTTGCGGTTTACAAAGTGTGTTGCACTGATAAAAGTTTCACTCTTACATAAATTTTAGATCTTCATTCGAGCTTTCAAGTTTGCTTATTATGGAACATTTGTTCTGTTCTCCTATGTACGAACACTATATAACTGGATCCATTGGAATTTTGACTTATAGTTCGCTTGTGTTCTTCTTACTTCAAGATTGCACCCAATTTGTAAATTCTGTTCATTCTAAATAGGTTGTAATAGAAATATGATTTAATTACTTATAATTAACCTATATGTTGATATCCTACATTTGGACTTCACGCAATACTACATCATCGTCATTTGAAGACTGTCATCCTTCTAGCTAAAATTATTCCAAGTAAGCAAGCAATTTTATGATTTGTAATTTTATAAACAATATACAAAATTATTTATTCCAACTCTTAGTGTCCCCACTTTTTTCTGCAAATATATCTAAGGAGTCAAATATTAGCAATAGTGCTTGAGCCTCTTCCAAAACATTTATCACTAAATTTAGAAAGAACTCTTCCAAAAGTCTATCATAATTTAAATGAGCAATCAAATATCTTCACGAAAAACTTCTCTTTTGTTTATAGCTACAAAATGAACATGATATAATTCAAACCAACAATGACTTTTCAGTTGAAATATTTGATTATTCTTTTAAATTATATTTTGTTTTCGGGAGATTTCTTTCTAATTTAGTGATGATTACTTTGGAAGAGGCCCAAACTATATATTTCAACATAATATTACATTGAGGTGATTTTTTAACTAAAATTTATTATATAACATTATTTTTTCATGGTGCCATTTGCTGCTTTTGTATTCTATTTTAGAATGGACTTGAAAAGAACAATTTAATCGATCCTAATTACTGGTCAATACCTGCCTAGCCGCACAAAATTCATTAAATTTTTCTTTAATTTATACTCTTACTAATATTATGCATGCAATATTATGCAGGTAAGTGAAGTGAGATATAATCTTAATGAGATTGGATATGACGTCAATTTAATCCATGAGATGGTATCCAACTTGGTAAGCTATCACAGCATGATTGTTTAAATATGATGTAATTTTCTTTTTGCTATATTTTCATCTCACAATAATTCCTTCTAAATATCTTTATGAATGTAGGAAACTTTTTATGATACAATGGACTATCTAATAGATGATCAAGTCATAACAAAAAGAAAACTTAACTAATCATCATCATACCAGTTTGAAAACAACATCAATGCCACAACATAAAAGTTTTATTTGCTCGTTTTGTCCTCTTCATCTAAATGATTTTACTACCACCACCTCCAAAACTTTGTTTTATTTGGTAGCACCGATAACAATAATTTGTGAGGCTTTTGGCTAGTAACTTTGTTTTGTTTTCAAACACTACTTGTGTGAAAACTTGTCGATGAAGTTTGAGCTTAGCAACAATGTATAATAAGCTTCATAATGCTTTAGCTTCTAGCTTGATTTTGAAGATATAACAAGTGCAGCTTTTGAAACATATAGATCATCTTTCATTCGCTTCTTATAATATTTGCTTTAGTCTATTAGTTAACATTTCATTATAAACCATTAACAAAGTTCTTTTTCATATTGATTCCTTCATCATAACTCTATCTATTTTAACTCGCCCAAAGTAAACTTTGCACAATTTCATTATTCCATCAAAACTTCTCTTTCCCTTCTCAATTATCAACATCACAAAATAAGATTTGACTATTGGTGTCTAGAAAACAACCAATACCACTCTACGCTATTACATACTCAACTATAATATAACATGTGCCTTGTACGTGCGACCCACTAGCATTTCTTTAAAAGAATGAAACCCTCCTTAGCTATTCATTTGTGTAACCTTGTTTTCACACCGTAAGTGGTTAATTACTATTCATTAGCTCGTTCAGATGTGCCTTGTAGCTTAATTGGTTTGAATTTGATTTTTTTACGTGTGAGAAGTCATGCCATTTGATGTGCACTGTAGGTGTTTGTGTGTAGTAAAAAAAGCAGACGTCAGTGATTTTTTCCAACTTCGTCAAATGTGGGCCAACATTCATTATTTGTCTGAAAATTTGACTTAAGTGTTATTTTTGGTTGTGTTGGAAGGAGAGCAAAAGCTGTATCTTTCATATGTGCATTGTACCTATGTGTTGGAAGAGAAGCAAGTGAAAAAAATATCTTCCATATAATAATAAACTATTAAATAAGTACAAAGCATAGATAAGAATTAGGGGCTTCCTTATACGTTAACTTCTCTCTTTCGTTGAAATTCCTCTCATTCCAATACATTGAGACCTTAAGATCCTCTATTATCTAAAAGTCTCTTCTTTTTCAAATAGATTCACATGTAACTTCCATTTTTCCAAGCAATTATTGTGAAAATAGATTATTTTGTTGAAAGATCGTCGACTTAGAAAGTGGACTTTACCATTAAGGATCTTTGAATGATTAATTGATCGGGATTCTTTAGTTTGTTAAGTGGATTCTTGATTAATTAACGAGTGGATTTGGAAAAAATAAGCAATTTCTTCAATACTAAGGATGAAGAATGTTGTAATGTAATATGGTGCTATTGTTGATTGTCATATACATAAGAAAAATTTTCATTTTTACATTAGTTGTGAGACTTCAAAAAGATTCGTTTTACCTCTACACTTTCTTTCTACAATTTTTTTTCCATTATAATTTCTTTGTTATTTAGATTAATACTACTTTTATGTATGTTTTATTGATTTTTTATTATCCTTTTTTCCATCAAAAGCCGTAGAAGTGATTTGTGCAGAAGTGATGACGAAAATCAACATTCTTGCTAAAAATTAGAAGTCTGTTCTGGGGGGTCTCCTTTGACTGGCTTGTGTAAATATATATTGACCAACAATCTCAGCTTTACATTTTTCATCCCTATTTTCCTCCTATTTTTTCGTAGCCATATCAGTTTTATGATGCATATTAATAATTTGATGAAGGATTTAAAATTTTTTCAAGTAGTGCAAGATTGTATTTTGATGTGTTTTTTGTGATTTGAAAAGTCTTTGTTAGGTTGCGTAAGCTTTCACTATTTTCAGATGATTCTTGTAATTAAATTCTAAATCAATTAATTACTTTTTAATCTGAGTGTCATGGGCATAATGTGCTTAACAATTTAGTCTTTGGATAATCCATAATTGCAAAAAATCTCTCTTACAAACATTAGATGAAATTATTGAATCATACTTGAAATCGAAGAAGGCTCGTGAAGGCTATGAAACTGACAACCAGACCAATGTCTCCACCTTGGAAAAAAAATGAGTGAAAATCATCTATATTACTTTTGTAGTAGTTGGCAATCAAGTAAGAATGTATGTGTTCAGTTCCTTAATGAAAAATTCCTAGCTACAACTTTACCAACACTAACTTGCTGCTTTTGAGATTAAGAGATTGAGAGGGTGCTCTGGGCTTTTTTTTCTTTCTTCTCTATCCTTTAGAATGTAAACATTATAATTTGCCGTTGTATCTTTCTTGTACCTTTACTGTCTGTATAAATGAACTTTTGTACTTTTGTGAAAAAACACTGCCGCAATCTATTAAATTTTATTCTTTCTTTAGCTTTCAATTCTACACACTTCTAATAGATTAATAAAGCAAACACAGTAGTTATATTCATATTATTATTTACTGTAATGTATAAAAAATGTTCTATTTACAACTTTATTTCATTGCATTTAACCAATAATATATCATTCCAACCATACGAACTAAAAAATTCAAAACACAAACCACTTAGAAAAAACTTCTCGACATTACACGACTTTGTTTTATTTGAATTGTTAAATTCATATAACATTGAATACACTGACAACACTTCCAAAACAGTGCAACCCATGCATTGCATGGGTAGAACACTAGTTTTGAAGAAAGAGAATGAATTTTCGAATAGTGTATTGATAAAAAATATGTGGTTAAAAAGTATGAAAAAGTTTCGGATTTGCGTGTAATATTATTTTATTGAAAAATGTATGGTTGAAACGATGTTAAAAAACAATTGAAAAATATATTTTTTTCAAAATAATAGGGCTCAAACAAAGGCTTGGTAACAATTTTGTCGAAATATTTATTTTCATCAACACATTCTCACAATAAAATATTTTTTCCGTAAATTCATTTTTATTTTTATTTTTAACCACACATTCTTCAAAAATTTACTATTTAAAAACTAATTTTTTCCAAAAAAAAATAAATTGCCAAATAGGAAGAAAAGAAAATAAAAAATGAAAAGGGAAAATAATAATAATAAAATAAACGATGCATGTTATCTTTCTTAACCACGTATACCCAAGTAGGGGTGGGCAAAACCCAAACCAACTGTCTGAACTGTCCAAACTGACTCTCACCGACCAGTTGGAGTCGCTTTTTTGTGATTTTTTAGTTGGGCTCGGGTTTTGGGTTTAAAAGGCGGGTCATATAAAACCGACCCGACCCGACCCGCTTATATATATTTAAAAAGAAAAAATAAAATAAAACCGGCGGACGGCAGTTTAGAAACACAAAACATTGAAACAGTGAAAACACAACCCTTCTGACTCTCTCTCTAGCCTACTCGCCGTCTCTCAAGTCTCACTGTCTCTCAGCAAACGCAAACACCCAGCACCCATACCCATTTCCTCCCATTTGAAATCAGACCGCAACTCTTGCTCCTCCCGGCTCTTGGAGATTTGGATTCTGGAGTTGCCCTCGCCAAGGTAATGGCTTTTTTCCTGTTGATTCTTTGTTGTCGGTGAGGAAATGGCTATTCTACATAATCTTAGATCAAAACCCGTTTCAGCAATTAAGTTTTCTCATTGGTCTGAGCGTTTTCTTGGCTTTAATCACACCCTTGACTCTTATTGTTATTAAGGGATCGTAAATTTGAGGAAGCTAGATGAGCCTTTGGTGAAGCCATCAGAAAGTTTGTAACTTTCGATATTGTAGATGCATTTGATGATAAGGAATTTAGAATTTTGAATCTGATAAAGAATACTATTTAAAATAGCCTTCTTCTTGCTGATATCCCAGTTCTTGCATCGTTCTCAGTCGGGTGATTTTTGTCATCCAATCTATGTTGATAGCATTAAAATGCAGGATCTCAACTGAACTAGCAGAGGCTAGTAATCAACATGAAAGCGTAATTCAGAAAAATCAAACTAGCTCCACGCAGCTGACTCCTCATAATCACAATTTAATCAGGTAACTTTTGTACCTTGGCAAATTAGAAAATTTCCATTATATGCTCTTTCTATACATTTAAAGGAATTTTTATGATCTAATTTCCAAAGTTTCTTCTGATTCTGGAACACTGTTTTCTTGGTTATTATAGTTTTCTAGATGAGGAGTAAATTTCAATTATTTTGGTTAATTAGTGAAACACTACTTTTTTGTTTTTTGTTTTTTTTAACTTGCTTCAGATAATGCAGGGGGATTAAAAACAACTAAACAAGTTCAATAAAAGGTGATTTAGCATTTTTGTGTACAATGATAATAAATAGCTTAACAGTTGGCAGTCTCTATTTTTCTGTCTTCAATGTCGATCGGGACAAAAGGTAAACTACAAACCACCCAACCCAACCGAACTTGATTGGGTTGGGTTGATTTTATATGAAACCGAACATGTTGGGTTGGGTTTGGGTTGCGTAAAAATCCAACCCAACCCATGCCCACCCCTACCCACCAAATCCCCACCACGACTGCCAAATTCCAGCCACCACAAACCCAGCTGCCATCATCCGACAAAAACCACAATTTTACAAGCACCAGCCTTTTGAGGTAAATTAAGAAATCACATGTCCTCTTTTAGCACGTGTTATTATTATTCTATAGTGTTCTTTTACGATTCCATTGGAGGAGAAATTTTTGAATAGATTCTAATTAATAATTCCTCAGGAATCTACTTTATTTCATAAAGGCATAGGAGATGCCAATATGAAAACTTTGGTTTCTCAGCCTCCTCTGCTTTATATATTGTAATGGCCTCTCTATTTAGCTGAATCAGACAACTCCACAAAACAAACTCAAATTCTCTCCTTTCGTCAATAAGGTACCTTATATTTTTCTCAATTCATTCAACAGCCTTTTTTGGGCTTTTGGCTTTATTGGATTCTTCTTTTGCTTGCTTTTTTCATTGTGCAATTGAAAGGCCTTGCCTTGTGAACAAGTTTTTCCCGTGGTTTAATTAGTGCCTTTTGTTCAATTTATATCTGGGGAAGTGTTTGTTTGCCCCCAGTGAGATAGGGTGTATGTTCTTTGAAAATTGATGTGGTTCAAATGGATTTGAATTCTATATGTAATCTATGTATTCTTATACTATTCTGAAAGAAATCCTTTTAGGACCAAGCACGTAGTTGAAAGTCCTTAACCAATACTCGCAAAAAAGTTATTCTCTATCAGAAGCAAGGATGAAACTTCATGTAGCGCTTCAAATCCAGCTAGAATCTCAGTTATTTCAACATCATCATCTCACACCGAGTTCTTTCTTGCTTTTTATTCCTTGCTTTACCGATCTCCTCTTTTGAGCGCAAGGCTCAGAAAGCTGGTTAATGGGTCTTACTCAGGATATATTCTTCAGCAGAAGACTGGGCAAAATTGATGATCTTTGTTTCATGCTCTTTAACCCGTTCATATAAAATTTAACCCACCCACAAACAAAATCCAGACTTAGCCCATAGAACTATTCATGTCTAAAAGACATAAATGAATGCTCTGGTCACAATCTGATTAATTCAGTTTTCTTGTAGGAAGACTCCTACAGGAAATTCTATATCTCAGGGTTTCTTCTTAATATTGCTGCAAGAATTCAAGTCTTCCAAGTACCATTAACTGGAATTGCTTTAGGAATTTATTTATTTTTAATTTTTGTCATTCTTTTTTATGGGTTATCTGTTCTCATCTAAACTACAGGTATCTGGGACTTCTGAAATAGGTTCTGTAGTGAATTTTTTTTCCCTTTGTTATCTTTATGTCAATTGACTTGTGAGATTTAATCGATTGCATTTTGGGATGTCAATTGCTGCTCTCCTATGCGTGTGCTCTGTTTTCCCTTTGTGGAAAAATGAAAAATAATAGAACTATGTTGCTGATTCATTGGATATACTAGATGTTCTCCTTTTTCTATTAGAATTTTCTCATTAATTAAGTGTTGAAAATTCTTCTTATTAAATAAAGATTCTTGAGTTGGAATAGGCAAGAGAATCGTGCTCGGCCAACTTATGATTTGGATGAAATCATTTTATAATCTCTTCATTTTTGATGAACTATTTAAAGTAATTATGTAGAGTTAAGACAAAAATTTTTATTTTATTTCCAAGTTCCTTTTAGAATTTTATTGGTAGGGACACAGCACACTAACACACCTCTTTAATTAATCTCACCTAAGTGGAGCACTCTACAATACCTCGCCAACACAGTGTGTATCTCACACTCAATCTTCTTAATCCACTTATTACATGCACAAAACATATATGCATATAGCTGGTTGAAGTTGGTCGCTGCTTCTTCCACATAATTCTAGCTTGACGGCGGAAATAAAATTGAAGCATTCTGGTTGCTTCTTCATGTGCCAACAGTTAAAGAATATTGTAGACATTAGAAACACAATCAAAATATGGATAGAGTGGTAGTGCAACCTCCAGAAAAATATGGAGCTCGTAAGTTAAGGTGGTGCTGAGCTTCTAATTATTTGTGAACAAAGTGAAAAAACATAAACAAATCAACGATTATGCTGCATGAAAAATCTTATGTAGTCATTTTCTGTTTAACCAACTGAATAAAAATGCTAAAAACTTGATAATAGGGATTAAATTTATGGTTGCCTAGCATTGCGCAATGGGCTTTTTTTCACGTGTTTGGGTAAATTGTTGTTTTGGAGCTTTATTTTAAGAAAAATCTTATGTCATTATTTCAGAACTTTTGAATCTTTTTGTTATTTTACTTTGTAATACTGGTATGAGTTGCAAGGCTTGTCTGAGTTTATGTTCTTTTATACCTTTTTATAAATTTTCACTCAATAACATTTCCTTAAAGTGCTTCTTTTGTTCATTCGGAAGCACTTGTTTCGGATTTGACCAATTGAGATGCAATAATTCTTCTTTTATGCATATCATTGTTTTTCTAATTCTGGCTGAAAGAATTCTTATGATGCTTTATTTGATTTGGCCTGAATCAGATGTGCTGTTGATGGAAGCTTAAACTTTGATCTGGTCTGGTATATACACTTGCACAATATCAATGGCAAAACCTTTAAGCAAACTCGTTTCCTGTGTCATCCTTGATTTGGATGGGACGATTCTTAACACAGGTTTGATTGTGTTTCTTTCTAGTAATATGTCACATGCAACGATTCTTTTTGTATAAATGTGCTTTGATTGCAGTTTCTGAAATAGTTGTTTAGTCACTTATTTGGTGTTAATGGCCTAGACTCTTTGTCTGATGAGTATACTTTGTGTGATAAAATGCATTACATTCTGAAATGAGAGATAAGACGGGGACGTCTCACTTCAGGAATGAATATAGAATAAGTATCATTTGCCTGTTAATCGTCATAGCTTCAGTTGTTAAGTGCGCAGCATTGCCATCTTGATACCTATCCCTTTTGGTTCTGTTTGCCTCATTTCAGTGTTTCATTTTACTAAAATTTGATATATTGATAACGAATTATTGACTCTGTGCTTTATATTTAGTTTTAACAACAAAAAACTTTCTAGTTGTATACCACTGATGAATTTCATCCATTTTGGACCTTTCCGGCAGGTTGTTTAGATTCTGCCATCATTTTGTATGATCAAGTGACTTCCCTTTACTACACCAAGGAAATATGCCTTTATATTCAACATAAACACAATAAATGCAGATTGTCAACAATTGATTTTTTGTCATACTGGACTAGTTTGTATTTTGCTATAATATGAATTCGATAATTCTGTCTCACGCTGGCACTGGTTTTGTTTTTACTTTCCAACTATAAAAAAATTTGATTTGATGTCAGATGGCATTGTGAGTGATGTTTTGAAATCTTACTTGGTTAAGTATGGGAAACAATGGGATGGAAGAAGAGCTCATAGAATTGTAGGAAAGACACCTTATGAAGCTTCAGCAGCTGTTGTGGAGGATTATGAGCTACCTATTTCGACAGATGAATATATATCAGAAATTACTCCTAGATTCTCCGAGCAGTAATTTTCTTGATCACTAATCTCTTTCTACGTTATCATTTTGCACAATGTTTTCCCATCCCAAAAATCATACGCCATCTTTGGTTGGTGACTTTTGGGATGTGTACTTTGTCTTTGCACACGAATATATTATTACGTTAACATGTTAGGTTCATTTTATTTGTGGCATGAGATGTATTGATTATGAGCTTAGGAGATAAGAAATTCCTAGTACATCTTGCCTATTTTTCTGATAACTGTATTTCTCTGGCAATGAGTGTTTTATATTCAGTGGTGAGAAAAACGTGTATCAGCTTTCACCTGTTCTTTTTTATCAGGGGAAAAGATTTCTTGCTCTATATTCTATATCTTAATGCATTTGGTAAAAGTAAGGGGGAATGAAGAGAAGTTGTAACTATTTTTTGTATTTTGGCATTGTGTCGTATGTGTAAACTATTGGTATTGCCTTTAACGACTTGGGAAGTAAAGAAAAGTTTAAGACTTCAGATTTCATATCTGAAGATTTCACTTCATCCCATTATACTAATTGTATCCCTCTAATTTCTGTGGTAGGTGGTGCAATATCAAAGCTCAACCCGGTGCCAACAGGTTAATTAATCATTTGAGGAATCATGGAGTGCCAATGGCCTTGGCTTCCAATTCTCCAAGGACAAACATTGAAACCAAGATATCTTATCATCAGGGTAGGTTTATCCAAAAATATCAACTAACAAACACACTCTTCATAAAATGATATTCTTCTTTATGATGTAATAGAGAATTCTTTTTCTTTGATTTGGTTAGCTATTGACCATCATATAATTTCAATTTACAGGTTGGAAAGAATCGTTTTCTTTAATTATAGGAGGCGATGAAGTCACGAGTGGAAAGCCATCGCCTGAAATGTAGGATAATTACAGCTGGAAATGCCTTTTCTCATAGATGTTTCTGTTATAAAGCCATCGAATTAATGTTCGTATTCATTTGGTGTATAAATTATTGAAGATATGTCGAAGCTGCCAAAAGGCTTAACGTGAATCCTTCTTGCTGCCTTGTAATTGAAGATTCTCTGTAAGTATCTTGTTCCATGCCTTGCTGAATTTATTTCAATAACGAGGCATTCTGGCAAACAATGAATTGATGATACCTGTCGTAAATGCCTTACCTGTTAAGTTCTACTGAACTCTACTAATATTTTGAGAATGCCTTGTTATATACAGGCCAGGGGTCACTGCTGGTAAGGCTGCTGGAATGGAAGTGGTTGCTGTCCCATCCCTTCCTAAACAATCCCATCTTTTCACCTCAGCTGATGAGATCATTAATTCACTTCTAGATCTACGACCTGAAAAGTGGGGCCTTCCTGCATTTGAAGACTGTGAGCCTCTGTTACTTTTTTTTGCTCGTTTTTAATACCAACCATGTCCTATGCCATGACAGAAATGAAAAATTCAGGGATAGAAGGTACTTTGCCAATAGAACCTTGGTACATTGGTGGTCCTGTCATAAAGGGCTTTGGACGTGGCTCAAAGGTGCTTGGGATCCCTACAGGTTTCTAGACTTCTATATTTCCTCAGATGGGACAAACTAATATTATTGTTGATGTATGTGCCATATTTGTATAGCAGAGCTATTGGCTAATATGCATAACTGTGTGCATGACTGTGTTTTACTCTCAAAGACCTGCAACGTTTCAATCTCTTGGTTTTTGTTTGATAAGTAGGTAACATATTCTAACGAGAAGCGTTTATATTTCAGCAAATTTATCAACAGAGGGTTATTCAGCTATCCTTTCAGAACATCCTTCAGGAGTTTATTTTGGCTGGGCCGGATTACCAACTCGAGGTGTTTACAAGATGGTCATGAGCATTGGTTGGAACCCTTATTTTGACAACTCCGAGAAAACCATAGTGGGTGACACAGATCTTTATCCCTCGTCTCTTCCATGTTTGGCCAAGCTTAAAAACAATAAATATGATTTATCTGTCATTACATGTCTTGATAACTAAGTGAAAGAAGTTATTTATACTGGAACTAATTCTAATCGTATTCGCAAAATAAGTAACTTATTTTCAACCTCGCCAATACAAAAGGTAAGTCATATTAAAACTAATTTACTTATAAGTAAACTCTTTAAGCTTAGCCAAACATAGCCAAACATCATGCTCTTTATATCTTTATACTTTTTTGCTTCTTATCCCATATGATACCATAATTTCAGGAGCCATGGTTGCTTCATGATTTTAACGAGGACTTTTACGGTGAGGAATTACGGCTTGCTATTGTCGGTTATATACGACCGGAGGTATAAAAACCAGTTTGTATTGAATCTTTTTTTTATGTCTTATCGCTTGCGTCTCTCGTTACTGATTGCTAGTCGTGTAATCTCGTAGGCCAACTTTCCCTCCCTCGATAGCCTGGTAGCAAAGATCCACGAGGATGGAAAAATCGCAGAGAATGCTCTTGAACTTCCTCTTTATTCAAAGTATAAGGAAGACCCATATCTGAAAATCTCGTTGCCAGAAAATATTTAATTACTTGTTGCATCTTTAGAAATTATTGGTCCATTAATGGAATCTTGGCAACTTGAGGGGACTCACTTGGTTATATTTAATCAAGATATATGTTTTTGTTGTTGTGGACAAATGACGAGTTTTAATGTAACATAGTCTCGAGTAAGTTCATGTCGCAGTAAATTTAATTGTCCAAAATTTACTAGTCAACAAATTTTAGCTCATCAGACGACTACAACTTCAAATTTTTACGAGTAAACGATGCAACAATTGTGGACAAAAAATTGTAATTAAGATGTAAATAATTGGAGCCAACAAATTCTAAGCTGTATTCTCCAGCTTAAGCCAACTGTATGAACAACTTGTAGATATAGTAAAGGACTTAAAAAATAAATTGGACCGTTATAGATAATTTACATATTTTAGAGTTGGGAGATTTTTATAAATGGCCTACTACTATTCATTTTTGGTAAATGTCTATAATACCCTTAATGAAAGGATTTGTCATATTTGCACAAGATATCCTTAATTTATTGGGATAGTTCTAAATTCTTCTATTTCTCTCATTTCGAGTTTTAATATATAATTCCATCCTTTGATCTAATAAATTAGAATAATCTGTAATATAATTGTCATGTAATTTACTAAGATTATCATATTCCTTAGATGAAATATCCATAATCTCTAGTTGAGCAAAAATATTTCTTATTTTTTTCAATAGTTTTTCTAACAGATTATCTAATCCTTTAATTGTATAACCTGGCATTATTCAGATAATTCCTTACAAGCTTTATGAATAATATGTTATATAAAGTTTTTGCAAACATGAAAAGTAATAATCCCTACGATTCTTTCAAGATATTAGAAGAATTCTTTCTAAATTTAACAAAGACAATAATTTTACCTTACTTTTGATCTTGAATCTGTATTCTTAGAACCGAGTAACCTTCAGGCTCTGAATCTGCAAACTGCTCCCTCAAACGGCCTCTTGCCTTAATGGGAATTCTGCTATTTCAGCTTCTTGCCCTCACTGTATCTTTTCTTAGAATTAAGAGTAAAAATCTTAAGTAAAGAAAATTCTTTCTTTGTTAAAGTAAGAAAGAAATTATCTTCTTCAATCTATCAAGAATCTATGGGATAGGAAATTTAGAAACTCATATCTTTCTGATATCAAAAGATTGAAATTTTATTTCTATAATGATTTATACAAGGTTTCTATTGTATGCAAGGGGTTTCCAGAAGAACTGATTTTGAGAAAAGTTTAAGGAAAGAGAATGGTTTCTAACTCGAGATGCCATTCTTTCCCCAAATACCTCTATTTATACATGACTCAAACTCACTATTATTGATCTATTA